AGGGAGGGAAGTGGGAAGTAGGCAGGGTTGGAGGTTGGATAATAGACATCTCTTTCCAAGTAGAGTTAAAGAACCATAACTATGAAACATGTTTGTTTCAACACGTTTTATCCACCTCAAACATGCATAAAATAAAACTTCGGTTAGAAAGAGTATATGTAAACTACATGACTAAATCTCCATGTTAGATGGCAAAACCAAGACAAATAGCTTATATGATGCTATATCCCTAAAAGCTATCTTTACAATAACAAATCTGAAAACATATGGTTAATAAGGAAGAGAAAAAGCAACCTCCGTACAACATAGAAGAAAGATGAAGAAATAGATGAAAAGGAGAAAGAGAGAGAGAGAGGACACACATAGAGTTTAAGTACCCTAAACCTAACTAATGTCTGACTCCGACCAGACAAGGATGAAGAGGATGACACCTCACCGCCTAAAGGAAGAAGAGTCTATCACTCTCTCTTTCCAAATTTACAGGGCAAAAAGAGACATCAGATCATGACCTGGAAAAGATAAAGAATGCATTGCCTTACAAAGCAGAATTGTTTTTCCTTTTGAGTAAAAACACTACCTTGCACAACAATCAAGCCAAATAGCAACAGACACTAAACACAGAAGGAAAACACAAAATATCAGGGGAATATTCTCACTTCCAAACAGTCCACAGGACTGGATGTTTACGGATTGGCCTACCCCTCGAAATTAGGTAATAGACCATAGTCAGACCTAAGTAAATTCCTATATCTCTAGCTACTTTCCATCATCTTCATTCTTAGGACTCTTAACATTTACATATTTCCAACTAACAGATCTCTAAGCTTTCTGTTCCCATCCCCTTCAAACCTAGCCTTACATCACATAACATTCTAAACCCTCATAATATACTCACCACTTTTTTTGTAAACTTATCATAAACAATGATAACTTCATCCCAATGCCCCCGCATTATTATCAGTGTAATACCTGAATTTGGTTTTGATTTTGGATACATAGCCTTACCAGCTTGGGAATAACACCAGCTTCAACCAAGATGCTATGATTAGACTGGCTCAAAGCCAAATTTGCGAGCACTCCTCCTGCTGCCTCCATGACTTTTATTTCTTCAACATCCAAGAACTTAATAAGCGCCGGCAGGAAATCAGCACTCGCAATCTTAGCTCTATGTTTCTCATCAACTGACAAATTCCATAAAGTACATAAACTCTGCTCCTTCACCTGCAGAAACGTGTTCAAGACATCTAAAAAAATGCCAACCCCAGTTCCAAAGGAGGGATAGCTTTTTCATACCTCCGGTGAGAGAGAAGATCGACTTAGAATGCCTATTAATTCTTCTATTGCTCCACTTCCGGCAACCGAATCTCTGTAAAGGTTAACCGAGGAAACAGTCCGTAGGAGGCCAGCAGCTGCTTCACAAGTAGAACTAGAATCTGATTTAAGGAGGTTAACAGTGAGATTGATGCACCCACGAAACTGCATAATAGAATCAATACAGTGCTTCCCTCCTTGTGCATACTTCCGCAGTGCAACAATCGCCTGCTCTCTGTCAAGAGGATCGTTGTCCAACCCAAGCATCCGAACAAACAAAGCCACGTAACCATCCCCAGAGCTCGAAGAGTTTCCCTCCAATGCCTCAACCTCCTGAGAAGGAATTAAGCAAACATGGGCAATCGATGATTGAACCGGTTCATGGCATTACTGAAGAAACCAGAAAAGGGGAGAAGGAAAATCGGAACTTACAGTAGAAGGGGAGGACTGAGGGGTGGCGTCGACTGCGCCACCACCGTCATTGCTGACAGGGCGGACAAGAGGAGAGGAGCGGGGATTGGGGTTAAGGATAAGGCAAGGGTGAAAGGTGAAGATGGAGGAGGTATGATGCCTACTGGTTGTTGCTGCAGTTCTCGGTCTAAGTGTCAGAAACTCCTTGTGGACTATCTTGTAATGGAAATGAGGAAGCTTGCACCTGCACTTGAAGGTAAATGACATAGTTGAGGCCATTCTGGGCGAAGATGATGAGGGCAGCAGGGTTTTTGTAGTGTGGAATTTGGTTTCAGCGATTCGATTGGAGGGTTACAGAGAACAAGAAACTGGGACTGGATGGGTTTTAGGTTTGTAATGGTGGAGCTCTCTACCACTACCAGAGTATCTGTCTGTTCATGTTCAGTAATGTTTATATTTTTAGTTTACTGTAGAAGACGACGTCGCGGGCGAATCTGCCATTCAGCTAAAGTCCAGAGCCAAACTCTCCTCTCCATTCTTCTGGTGGAGGTGAAGGTTATCCTGTATAAGAGGAGAGATTTTTATTGGTAGGAACATCATCAAGCGCCATCCGTCCCATCGCATTTGGTACTCACAAGACAAGATCAGATCTGCTCCTCACATAGGGCGTCTCACACCGATCACACATGCACATCTTACCATGCATTGGAAACATCTTCTCTATTTAATACTTATAGATGCTCCCAAAGCATGATGGATGTGCCTGTCAAGCGTCACTGTGTGAGAGCAGATCCCGTTCCTTATAAGACTGTGTTCATACCGTTAGCACACTCCCTTTAATTTTGCATTGGGAATATATAAGTACGAAGATATTCTCGATGCACGGCTGTAATATGATGTTAGCGAATTCACATCTGCCCCCCCAACGTCCCACAGCATATCCCTGTCATATATTGGGAATATCTCTCGATGATAATATAAAAAATGATGATATAATCATGAGATGTTCCCAATACATGAATGGGGGTGTGTTGTGGAACGTTGTCGGGCGCAGATGTGAACTCTCTGATTATTAGCATAATCACAATCTTGTGAGTTCAAAACTAAGGGCTGTCAAAGGTTCGGTTCTATCAGATGGATCCAAACTGATCGGGCTATAATGGTTCTGGTCTRGTTCYGATTATTACCTATCATAATCAATTCARACCTGATCACCTAGAATCGATCATTTTATTAAGTATMTAATATCTTTTTTATTTTCTTATAATTTTTATGGAAAAKTATAGATAGGCTCAATGAAGATTTTTGAATTCWTCTGCTGACCTATTAACATTCAAAATGTCAAAAAACCCCACTTTATAAACCAATGCCCATCCTGAATTGGCATCGATTCCAAAYTGGCACCTACCCCAACTGTACTTTGGGCCTAAAAATTCTGACCTTGGGCTGAGCCTTCATTCTCCCTAATTTTCTATCATTTTTAGTAAGATTATATTGTCAAAATTTAAAATTTAAGTTGTTATTTAAATAAACAAATATAGTTTTCAATATAATTGAGACCCGTTAGACCCAACTATTAGTCAGAACAGTTTTTGGGTCTATGATTTTTTCGGGACTGATTCTACCTAGACCCAATGCAAACCTAACCCATTCACAGCCCTACTTCAAATGATTATTGACTGACAACCAATTTGGACTCTTCAGATTTTTCATCAAACACAACTTACTTCTTATAGAAGTTTGGATTGGCTTCTCAGGGGTTTAAAATGCATAAATAGGCCTATCAAGGGTTTCAATATTTTATAACTCTTTTTATTTTTTTGAGTAAATTACAAAGACCCCCCTGTACTATAACCGTGTGAGACAAAGACATCTTCTATTGGCCTTCAGTCGAAATCTGGGGTTGCAATATTTTTTAATCCCCATTAAGAGAAAAATACTGTTCATCTTCTCCGACCACACCATACACGAAAAACACAGCTTGTTCTTTCGAAGTCCTCCCTTTCTCTCCCCCGATCTCTCTTTTTCCCCTTTCCATTTTTCTTTGGTGCATAGGCTGAGTTCAGTTCTTTGTTCCGATCAGAACAAGTCGTTTCGTGTGGAACGGCCGCAGCTTGTTCTCTACGTTCTCTGTTCCCACTCATACAAGGCGTCGACGGCTTGTTCTATACAAAAAAAAAGGGAAAGCTGCAAATCAAAGAAAATCAAACCCCAAATAAATAAATTAAAAGAAAAAAAGAAACAGAACCTCCAATGGCGTGTTGGAAATGAATTCAAGGTGTTGGTTGTTGTGGAGAAAACGATCATAACTTGTCTGGATTCATGATTAACATCACACTAATAATTTCAGTGGATTGACAGACCATGAATTTCATTGTCACCTCGTCTTCCCCCAACATCCATCAACACACCATTAACCAGTGTTTTGAAATAAGAAACTAAAGAGAGTGGAGAACAATCAGAAGTGAGGGAGAACGTTTATTTGACTGAAGCAATCGCCAAAATTTATTATGAAGGTTAAGAGTAGCCACCGTGTTTTCTTGCCGAATGGTTTTTTCTTTTATTTGGAAACTTTTAGCAAAACGTTCTCCACTTTAACCTTCAGTCAACTTCTGCAAGGTTCTTCTATGAAGGAATGGCTATTCGGGTCGTGCTTGGAGATGAAACGAAGCTCGCAGATTGCCTCGGTTTGTTCTGAAATGGAACCCAGCCTATGCACCAGAGAAAAATGGGAAGGGGAAGAAGAGAGAGAGGGAGAGGACTTTGAAAATTTGCTATCATGAGGTCAGGGAAGATGAACAGTATTTTACCCTTTTTTTGTCACAGACCCCATAGTACGGGGGATCTTTGTAATTTACCCTTTTCTTGGGGGGAGGCAGTTTTAGACTTCCGTACCCCTGAAAAGGCCCAAATTCTGAAACAGCCCTTATTTAGGGTCTAAAAAAGCCACCAATATGATACCACACGCCCAATTGAAATTTTGAACCTTGTTTCTCACAAAATGTACATTACAGCACATCCCAACCGTTCATTAGGAGCATCTCCTTTTTCACTAAACACAACTTATAGGAATTCAGATTGACCCATTCCAACCATATATTGGGAACATCTCCATTTTCAACAAACACACCTTAGGAGTTCAGATCGACTCCCTACCCGGAAATGTGTGCACTCTCAGCTTATAGACTGTACACTTTTGGGAGAATCCAGATTTTCTCGTTACACCCACTTCACAGCACATTGCACCACCTCATGAAAAAATAAAAGATGTTCTCAATGCATCCTAAAAAAAATGGACTTTATTCAAAGCGGTTCAATCAATGCAAAATCCCACCCAAACGTGTGCCTAACTTGGCTGCTGTCAATCAGTCATTTGAAAGACTGTCCCCTCAATCCATTTGTTATTATAGAAGTATGAGCCAATACCTTTTCAAGTTTTAACAAATTATCGATGCCCCATCTAAAAAATGAAGTCATATTGATGATATTGATACCCTGAACCTGGAATAATGAATAGTAACGTTAAGTTAAACTAATAATTATATATATGTATATATATATATATATTATTAATAAATAAAAGGTAAATTACAAAGACCCCCCTAAAAATACCCCTTAGTCGTTAAGTCTTAAATTATCAAAATACCCCTCTAAATTTTTTCTATTTTCTTTTTTGTCCCTTTTTCTTAAAACCTAATTACCTAAAACACCTTTGTTTGTCACTGGAAAAGGAAAATACAATCTAAGAGAATCCATGATGTATCTTTAATCTCTCCATATTCTCTAGCACAAGAAGCAATACTCCCTCTCTTCCTCTCCCTCTTTCTGGTATTGTTCATTTTGTAATCTCCAAATTCTCATTTTCTTTATTTGGGTGCTTGTTTGTAATGAGTGATAGCTTCTTGTTTCAGAAAATACGCCATAAAAGTGAACGGCTCTTTTTGCGGAGGTAGTTCAACGCAGGGTTGTCGTCCTCCAGTATCACTGGTCCCTTCAATCTAAAATGCAAATGCAATCACTTGTTGTTACAAAATAAAGCTGTCCACACAAAAGCAGCTCCTGATCACAGTCACTTGGTGTAAAAACCTCTTGGACCAAGGTCTCATCATCAACTACGGCGATGATCCATCTTCTGCCCTCAAAGACCAATTCACGGTTAGTCAGGAAGAAGAAAGGCAACCATATGTTGGAATTTGGCAGTTCTAAGATTGAAATCTTCTAGGATCTCTCCACGACTAAGTATGAGTTGGGACCTGAGCCAGTTGATGAGCAGAAAACAGAAACCCAAATTTGCAAGCAGCCACCCCAAAAAAACCAACAAAAAACTAAGACCAGATCACAAGCAACAAGACAAAGCGTCGTCGGTCGGTCGACGGTCTTGATGTTAGATCTCAGGATCGTGGCAGTCGACAATGATTCTACATGAATGCCATTGGTGTTCGGGTTGTTTCCTGAAGTTGCAATCTTCACCCCTAGCACATTGACATTCTAGCAATCGTTGATCATAATGTGGTATAAGTGGCTATTTATCGGTGATAATCCATTGATCACAATGTTCTTTGAATTTGTAAAGGTTAGCGACTGCACTAACAAGTAACAACTCACAAGCAAAGAAGAAGTGTCAATATGTGTAGTTCTGTTATGGGCTTCATGTATGGTCTAGAATTCAGAGGTTAGTTCGACATTTTATTGTTATTTAAAAGGCTCTACTAACAGGGTCACTGCAGAAGAAGTTAAAAGGTTCTATGTTGTGGTCATGGTTAACACAGAGCTTGGCCTAGTTCTTGGAGATATGGCAGAAGAAGTGATTAACAAGAAGTTCAAATCGGGTATCCTGCCAGCTGCCTAGTTCTCTCTAGTATCATGAATAGAACATTTCTCAGGCAACCCAGTGTATTTGACCAAAGAGCAATTCTGCAACAGTGAAGGGGTTGCAAAGGAATTTCAGAGGAAACCAGACCATCTGATGCTATTGGTTTTTGTTGTAATGGAATGCCATTCGAATGAAGAGAAACCAGACCATTTTTGGTGTAATGGAATGTCAGCGAAGAAGGTTCCTCTTCCTGCAACTTGGACAAATTGATCCAAGATATATACTCAATGTGCATGTGTGTTTCTTAAGCATAATTCTGAATTGTATTGGCAAAGGAATTTACCTTAATGTTTGTATTACTAGTTTAGGTTATGCGTGTGGCTTCTGTGTTTTGGTTGATTTCTGGTCATTTGCATCTCTGAAATTTACTGGTTAGTGTTTTTCATAACTATTGAAGGGTGGCAAGAGCATAACTAGAAGCCAATTCATGATAAGTTCAAGCCCAGAAGTCCAATATCAGTAGTAGGGAATACTACTTCTAACTTTTTTGTTGCAGAATTTGAAGGAGCACATGATTATTTTTTTATGTCATCAAAGGCATCAGTGCAGTGCAGAGTCGCTTCTTGGATCCTATGTGTTGTCCTCTCTTTAGATTCCCAGTACGTTTGTGAACCGGGTTCCTAATGGTTCTTGATTTTCCCATTTACATTTTACGGTTTTAG